GCTCCGGCAAGTGCTGGCTGCGGCTGCCCGCCCAGAGCTTGTGTGCTGGGCAGCACAGAGGTAGCGGTGGCAAACACTGCCTGGCGCAGCAAGCGAGGGGGCCGCAGCTGCTGTCGCCATACACAGCTGCTATCACCCCTCGCCTGCCCTGTGCCCAGTGCCCTGTGCTGCAGCTGCTCATAGCCTGCCTGGGGCTGCCCGTGCCTGCTTCAGAAAGCCCTGCGCGGGTTGCGAGCAGCTGCAGCACGGAGCGCTGGCCACAGGGCGGGGAACGGCTGCATTCTTCTACGCCAGGAAGGAACAGGGAAGAAGCCCAGGGAAAAGCTGAGCGTGGGGGGAGAAAAACAGCTCCTCCCCCGTCATGGCTGGTGCTCCCTGCTGCAGGCATTCGCAGCCCACGTGGGGCTGTCTGGAGCAGGCACAGGCAGCCCCAGGCAGGTTGCAAGCGGCTGCAGTGTGGGGTTGGGCACAGGGCGGGGGAGGGACCGCTTTCCCCCACCCTGCGCTCAGCTTTTCCCCGGACCACTTTTCCCCGGGCTCCTTCCCTGCCTGGGGTCCTTCCCTGCCACCCCCCCTCCCCCCCCTGCCTGAGGTTCCAGCAGGGAGCAGCCACAGGGTCCCAGGGCCCTGCTGTTGTGGGAACCCGCCAGGGCTTCCCCTGGGTCCTACTGCCCTTGGTTCCTGTCATTTTTGACAGGGACCAAGGGCAGAGAAATATTAATTTTCTAAACTTTTCAGGGGCCCCGTGGGCTGGATTGAATGGTCTGCAGGCCGTATTTTGCCCACCCCCGCTCTAAGCAACTAAGTAGTCTTTAAAACATGCCAAGGTACTTGATTAAAAAAAATAAAGTAAGAAACAAAAGATACTGCATCTGTAGAATTTCCTGCTCAAAGTGTAAGAAATAGAGTGAGCAGCTCTGTAAACTCAGGTACCAAGAGAAGGTAATGTTTGGGTTTCAGTGTGTGTGACACTGAGAAGCTCCAGAACAATGGCAGGTAAGAAAACGGAATGATCTAGTAAGGCACCCAGTTATCATACTGACTAGAGAAAATTAGCTTATTTATCCACATACCAAACTCATGTTATTCCTCCCAAAATCAGGGACTGAAAATTGGGGTGCATTTCTTAAGGAAACTAATTTTGAACAGTTTGGTTAAAAGAAAAAAAGTGTTTTCTTCATTTTGCCTTCCCAAAACCAGGTGCATGTTTTAATGAGGGGTGTGCGGTATGTGAATAAATGCAGAACACTAGAAACACATTGTCCTGAATGGGAAAGAACATGGGGTGAAAAAGTGGTAGTCATGTGCTGGAGAACTTGACTGCAATGCATCAATAGCAACACACACACACACACTTACTGAGGATATTCCATACAGGAAAAACAGAAGAAATATCACAAAGGAACTACTCAGGGGAAATAGCGAAGAGGCTGTTGCAATGACTGCCATAAGAATGGACATGACAAAAATCAAGGTTGTGTATAACAGAACCCAGGAAAGCCTAGAAAAAAGGGGGGGAAAAAAAAAACCAATGAAGATTCACAGACCAAATCATTAATAGAAACAACAACAACATTAGCTAAATTATTATACTAGTCCAGAAAGCTGTACAAAAGGACAGGCATGCAATAAGCCAGAGCCCCAGCTGAAAGAAGTGCTTTTAAGTACAAATATTATTATTCTGAGCACCACTATTTGTACTTTAATACCAACTGTAGCGAGTAGGGAAAACAACTGCTATGAATCATCTACATTTTCTAATTGGCATAATAAATTCCCTAGTAGTTGAACTGAAACAAGGTAAGTGAGAAGTATCTTTCAATAATTAAAGTAATTCTATTTAAAAATTTAATACACTTGTCGGTCCAGGACTTGGGTAAGGTAATAAAATACTCTTCTGTACAAGAAAAAAAAAAGGAGGTTAAAAAGTCAGGGAGCACTTTCCTTCACAAAGAACAGGTGCAGCCTGTGGATCTGTAATGTTTTACTTTGCTAATGACTCCACAGATTAGCTCTTTTACAATGCTTTATATTTTCAAAACATTGCATTAGACCTTCTCTAAGGCATATTACATTCATTTTAAGAATGAGCAGGGGGAGAAAATAAATAGGCTGTTCATAACGAAGGGCTTGCATCACAAAATGCTTGTAACTAGGAGTCCCCATAGAGGTCATTCACTTAGTATCTGATGAAGTAGATTGTCGCTTACAAAAGCTCCTGTCTCTCATGAACCATTTAGCCCAAAGTCAGGCAGAAAGAGGAACAAGGTGGCACCTTAGGGACAATCATGGCTAACCATCTCTCCACTGAAGCCACTGTAACGACTCAGCGGGGAAAAAAGGACCGTACTTGGTTTTACCTGAATAAAACCCTATCACAATGACCACCATTACTAAACATGCAAAACTAAGCCCCAAGTCATTTGTATCTGTATTTCCATTGCTGTGGTCCAATTAGCACAGCTGCAAACATGAACAGTTCAGAACTGCAATACATAATGCCTATCAGCATATGGAATGCAGTTTAAAAACTAAACGTATGGATTCCTGTTTTTTCAGTTTTATCACAATCATGTACTCCTAGTCTTTGGGTTGGATGAATATGGCTGATGAACTGTGAAAAAGAGATCACGTGTCCCACTAATATAAAGAGAAGTGTTACAAAGCAGAATAATACGTCATATGCATAATGCAGCACTTAACTTACTCCCATCAAATATGAAGTTTATTTTGAGAAATATTTTTATTAAATTAGAAGGATTATAGTAGTATAATATGGCATGTTTTAAATTAAATATTATTAATTGTAATTACTTTACAAAGGGGATTGACAAATGCTGAAATTAAAGTGGAACAGAGCATGGGGACTTAATAAGGAGTCTATGATGCACGGTAACTACGTATGCCTACAATTACTCTTAATAAATGACAGCTAATCTGAAGCATTTTACCCCTGAATTAAGAGAGTTAAAACGTCCATGTTAACTTGCTTCAATTCGATAATTTGCCTGCATCTACCCAGCGCCAGATTACTATTATATTATAAATATCTAGCTTAAAAAGATTTAACAGTAACATCAGAAATAAACCAAATCAAAGCAGGGCTTACTATAAATCACTATGACATAACATTTACTGTATTTTTTAGAAAAAGAAAAAAGTTATACTCACATACCAAAAGGCAGTGTCATGAAGTCCCAGTATTTTTAAAAATTCCTTCAACTTCCTCTCTTTTTCTGCCACGATGTGAATTGCCAAATAGTACCCGAAGGGAGAAAAGGCTATTACTAGGTAAATTAAAATGATTGCACGGGGAAAGTGGTCTATTTCCATAACCGCAGCCTCTCCCATAACAACAGCTTTTGTTAATTCCAGTTGTTCCCTGACTGAATGATTAGTCTTCAGCTAAGAAAATGTAAAGAAGACTTTAATTGGTTTTGCACTGAAAAATAAAATGTATTTTTAATATACTAATGTAAGCGCTACAGTTAAGTTAATGACCGGAAAGCTGTGATGAATAGGCCCACATGCTTTAAAAGAGACATGCCCTTATTTTCCCCAAATCACAGAATATCATAATCCAAAAAATAGGGAGAGAGGGAATGACTTCCTATGGGAAGATGGAGACAGCAAGTAAACAAAATACAGCGATGCCCTCTTCCTACTAAAATGAGAATTATCATACCAGGGAGCAAGAAGGAATTGGTGAAAAAAGGGCTCATAACAAATACCTAGGAACAAAGCAACAGAGTAAATCCTACTGCAGTAGAAAGCTTTTAGGTTACATAATCATTAACTTCAGCTCAGTAAGGAAAAGCTCTCTCACTGCCAGATGTAGTCCAGTGTATTAATTTCTTTTATGGGAAGCAGATGTCCCAAAGGTTTGCTTCCTGTTTCTGCTAGTTCACAGGATGACATAGCACTCATAGTGAGAAATGGCTCACCTGACGGGCTATTCACAGTGCAAACCAGAGGCAATATTCCAACTAACATAAACACACATTTGGGCTAGTTGCAAGCTAATTAATTCACACATGGACAGCAGTACAGCTATGGCATCATGGGCTGGACCAGGCTTTCTGGGACTCCAGGTAAAAGCTTGGTGGCTGAAATGTGGGCTGCCATAGCGACACTGCTATTGGACCTGAGCAGCGATCACATGCCTGGACTGCAACATAAATGTACTCTCCATCTTACAGAAAGGCTAAAATCTCATCTTGTGGTGAATGCTGCATGTTCCTCCATGAGAAATTTTAGAAAATGGTTTGGGTTTTTTTTAAATCACTACAGTCCTCAGTGATAAAACTAAGTTTTCAGCCATGCACTTTGCCAATAGCAAGAACGGCAGATACTGCCCTAGTGGTATTTTTACAGTACCCACTATATATATGTATAGTGAGTACTGAAAAGCAACCAAAAGTATTCCAATGGGATGAGTAATACTGCTTTTTAGAATCTCCAGAGGTAATTCTTGTTCTGAAAGGGTAGTATTTCATAAATACATATTCCCAGGTGTTCATGCCCTGAGGGCTTGCTGCAGGAGTTTTCTAGGCATGTAGCTTAATAAAGGTATGCAGCTTACTCTGAAGTTTAAACACAGGGATCCAACACCAGTAATGGTTTTATTTCACATAAATGTAGCCTGCATTAACTGGATAAATGCTATCTAAGAAGACTGGATCTAAATCAAATAGTTACGTATTTCTGGAGCAGAAATGCATGTTGCGGAATCAAGAACATCCCTGATTTCTTGCTAGCCAAAACTTCTAGTGCATTTATGCTTTCCATTCTCTGCCTTTAAAAATATATCAGAAGAGGACACCTGTCTTCCCAGCAACAAGCAGGACATTAAAATATTCTCTCTTGTTATGACCAAACATGTACAAATGAATGAATTCTAAATTGAAATAAACACTAACATTAACTCAGTCAAAAATTAAAGGATCAAATTTTATAACAGACTATTTATGGGACAGAATACTCTGATATAATGGGAAAAAAAGATTTTAACTTGCTACAGTACATCAAACACCATTTTGCAGCCAACTGTTGGCGAGTGTAAATATTTTAATGACAGCCAGCATATACACATAACACTCATTTAGACAAAAAAGGATTTACAAGCATGACTGCAATTCAGTTAGATGAGGAGACTGGTTTGTGTTAATAAAAGGCAAGATGTCTGATGCAAACCAATTTTAGTACACTTTATCTGTTAACAACACAAAAAAATGTATTAGACGAAATTCAAAGGATATTAACCTCTTTATTTCATTATGCTACTTATTTATATTTACCTGAATAATTGCAGCATCAATGCAAGCTTGTAGAGCTACAAATCCTGAACGCCAGTATTCAACGGATTCACATCTGTTCAATGAACTGGAACAACTGGCTATAGAAAAATCAAAGACATTTTTAAAGCACATACCTGGAGTTACTTTTTTTTTTTTTTAATAACAATGTACAAACACTAATGATTGAGGCAACTGCTTATTAATAATGCTAGAAAAACTTCAGTAAAGCCAAAAAGCATATACAAAGTAATCTCATTTGCAACACTACACTCAAAATGTCCTTTTCCAAAGTAATCATAAAGTTGGAACAGAAGTTAAGATGCTAGAAAGTCTATAGCAGCTCTGTAAAGAAGATAATGGGATATGATGAGCCACAGGCTAATCCCTCAGCCTCTCTGAGTAATGCAGGCCAGAAAAAAATTGAAAACAACTATTCTATAGTATGGATTGGAAAGCCCGCAGTGTTATTTTAATGAAAGAACATTGTGAAATATATGCAAGTATGAAAAGGATTCCAAGCCACAGAATGCTAGGTGATCTGCATATGGACACAGAAAGACAAGGAAATGAAATAGTGAGAAGTGAATTCCGTAATAGTTTCATGACAGATGGTTAACTTATGAAAAACTTATTGACACACACATACGAAGTCCAGATTTAACATTTCTCTGGTAATGCTAAAGACAAGAGAAAAAGAAGGGACAAGGTGTATCTATCTTCCAAGTGACACCTACTTCTGTTGAAGAAGCTAATTTTTAGCTCAGATGCTGAGGAGGTTGCTAGCTCTTCTTACATTTCACCCGCATTGCATTTTTCACTTTCCCAGGGAGTAGACCTCTGCATGAATTGTTGGTCCCACTGAAGGCAATGTAAACAGTCTCGTAGGCTTAATAGACAAGTTCTTCCCCCTCATCTTTTCTACACTTGTGAAGAGCTGCATAACAAATGTGCTCTATGATGTCACCAAGTTATTACCAACGCAGAAAGAAGATTATCTATTGCCTTAGTCTTCCCCAGCACCATTCATAAATACAGGGGAAAAAACCTACATTTTTTTGTGGAAAGTTCCTGATCTAAACCCCAGTCCAGCACACCACCCCAAAGAGATTTTCTTGCTTTGATACTATTTCATTGACATTATCACCATCATTGATAATGCCGCCAGGTGTTGTCACATCACACATGAGGTGGCAAAACTTTCATTTAGCATCACACGAAAACTAGGTCAAAACTTCCTAGTTCAAGTCCTTAAAAACAATTAGCACGTGCATTTTACCTCTTGATTCCATGTAAATGGAAGACATCGTGACAGCATTAGGAAATCTAAGCTGGTAGGACATGGAATCTTTGAAAACTATGCCCACAAAGTTTGATGATTTAAACATGCTAGCATCTTGTAATTCTTCTTCACTTAAATATTCCTCTGTAATTATGCCTGAAAAACAGAATATGAACGGCTGTGGGAATTAACTGGGACAGTGAAATGAAGCCAAGAGTAGACTCTATGTTCTTAGTAAATGCTAGATTATATTGATTCCATTATTTTGCTACTGATTTCCATGGAGATGACTATAAGTCTCAGCATTTGATGAACTGTTTAAGGAAGACGACACATAATAATGGAACGTGAAATCTTGCAGTTACACAGAAGGGTTTATTGCTGCCACATATCACTAAATCATAGACTGTATTAGGCAAAAGATGAATCAGCAAAATGGGATACTCAAAGAAAATAGCATTTCTTATAGTATGCCTGCTTCTCTTTCCTGTGGCAGTCATACATCAGTTTGTACCAAAGCACCACCCCAGCAAAAAATATATCCAATTGGTGGTGTTAATGAGAAGGGAATGGACGTCAATGCTAGTAGCACAGCTGTGTCAGCAGCATAACAGCAGCATAACTGACGTGTTTTGTTTTGTTTTTTTACACAAATCATGTTCAAAACCAAGTTTGTGATACAGTGCTCACCAATACCATCACTGCTACTCAAGTCACTACTTCTGTAGTAGCAACTAGGCTCCAAGACTGAAAGCTCTAACTAAAAATAGCTGTAAACTGAAACCATCTTCTTGCACTGACCCCAGGAGGCCAAGTAGAATAGCAGTCACGTACATCTATTGACTAATGCAGGGGGACAATCTTTTTTAGTCTGCTGAGGCCCAATTCTAAAACTCTCTCTGAAATAGGTAATACTTTATTGCAGTGTGACAACCTGTGAGAAAGAGTAACTTCTTTAGGAAAAGGCTACAGCATGTTACTAGTAAAGGGAAGCTCCTTTAAGATATCCAGAAAGTGATTTTCCTGTTCCTTATCTATTCTGTTCACCTTATGGACCTGATGTGTGACCGATGAAACTTGTCCTCAAGTGCAACAATCCTGCAGTTCCCAACACAATACTACACAAACAAGGATGTGAGATGAACCTGGAGAACAAAAATACATAGCTTTATAATACCTACCATCTGCAAAGAAATCAGAATCCACTTTCTGCATGATCCTTCTTGTCATATTGGTCACTGGGGTATATCCAAGAACGAAATTCACAAGCATGGAAGTGTCTAGAGAACCAAGATCTGCGTCAGGCACCGCGCCATATTTTCTATTAGGATGCATCATGCTCATTAATATTAGCCAAAATAAAAAGAATAGTGGAAACAGGATTTCCTGTACGAAAGATAACAAGACAATGATGTGAGACAATTAAGAAGAGCAATAACAGGAACTCTCACCAAAACCCGATTTATAATTTTATTTAAATTTATAATTCAATTGCAAAGTTTCTCGAATGTTCTTTGTTTTACCAATGATGGTTTTCATTTACAGTGGCTTCTGTAGCATTAGAGCATGATTTTGCTAACCTGAACCCAATAGAAGTTGAGATACAAATGAACAATCCTAACTGCTGGGAACTTATAAACCAAACATCAGTGTACCATTATGTTGTAGCCAGCAAGACTAGATGCAGCTGAAGGCAGAATTGGTTTTTCAAATTATTTCCTACATACAACATTTTAAATGTGTGTGTATGCACATATGGATGTAGCTGTGTGTGCATGTGCACAAGTGTAGAAGTTTGGATCTAGTGTTCTAGTTATATTTTGGTCCTCATACCAAGGTTATGCATACGAATACACAAAGTCATGTCATTATCAGACAGAAGATTATAGCTGTGTTTCTGGATTCTAATTCGTCCGTTCACATCCTGTGCAAAACTGAACAAGTCACTTACCTTGTCTGCAACTATAGTCCCATTAGCAACCCCTACCATCCACACCTGCATATTAGATGGCTTCATTAATTTTTTAATAGAGTACTTCAACATTCTAGGATGAATGACACAACACTCGCCCAAAGTATTATGCTATCCTCAAGGTATATCTTTGATTGCTCAAACTGGGCTTAAAAGTACTCCTGACAGGCAGTTCTATTAAGCTAAATATCCGTATCACTTAATTATTCTTGGTAAACAAAATACAAAGCCAAGTTTAGAACAGTCACTTGTGTCTATGTAAATGTGCACAACAATAAATAGTATTACTTAGTCCTGATTTGTTAGTCTGGGGTACTCAAACTTCAGCTGGCCCATGGGGCTGTCATTTGGCCCACAGGGTTTCCCTCAGGTCTGGAAATTTTGCAGGACGGGGCGGTGACAATTAACACTGCCATCACTCCTTTGTTGCCAAATTTCCAAGCCCTGAGGGGGTGCATGATCCAATCCAAGACACAGAGCCGGAGCCACACACCCGGTTAGCACCACTGACCCGCAAATTGATCCTGCACTGCTTGTCTGGCCTGCAGAGCTCAAAGGTTGGGCCCTACTATTCTATTTAACTTTCTGGAGAGTTTAACTGACAAAGGAACTGAACTTGCCATAGTGCCACATAAAGGCAGTTTGCCAGACTGTTTTCTGTATATGTTAAAAACAATAATACATTTGAGACTAAAGAATCATAAAAATGTTTCTAAAGAAGCTTATTTATTTCAAACCCTACCTCAGACGAGTCAGCTATCCCCATAAGCTGTGACAACACACACAACACCTACTTCTCTCTCTAATTCTGCCAATTCTTCCAATTTAAACCATGAAACGGACACGGGCCCAACAACCAGCAAATGAGCATCTAATTTACCTGTACACTGCTCTTTTTCGTCCTGCATTTAACAAGATAGTTCTTGAATAAGAGAGCTTTGGTTTGCCTCCATATCCCTGTCTCTTTTGGAATTTCCACAGCCATTTTCCAGGCCTGTTAAAACAATACAAAACATTTGAAGTGACAAAGTGCTGAACCTGTTAGGATTAAAAAAAATAAAACAAAAATGTGCCAGATAATTATATTGTTCTACTCCATGGGTAAGCGGCTTCCCATTGTACGTGCTAGATCTCCTATTACCGTAAGAAGCTGTCAGCACAGATTCACACTCCAGACACATTGTACAGTTATACGACTCAGATGTCAAAAAATGGGCTGCCTTCTGGCCTGGGCACTGCAATAAAGCTTTTTTGAGAAAGGCTTCTTGTTAAAGAAACTAAATCTCTATAACCCTTAGAGTTAGGAATTAACATCGCTTAAAATATAAAGCAAGGGTAAAATGATGCAGTGAGAAAGACTTGACTCTAACAAGTCTGAAGCAATACCCCCAGGTGATGTGAACCACCCTCTGTATTACAGCAGCACAGCCACTCCAAAGCCTATTGATAAAAAGACAGTGTTGTTTACTATTTCATGATGATCAAATACACAAGAACAAAGAGGGACTCATCACATTATGAAAACCATGTGATCTGCTGTTAGTACCATCTTACCAGCCTGAATTCTGGGAGACCATCAGTGCTTTCTATTTTAATAACTGGATCCCTCATTAGACTGACCTATGAGTTATATAATGCTGGTGTGCTCTGTCCTTTGAAGAAATGGATTTGAAGAGGCAGCTTCAGAGGCTTCCAAGACATACCTGGTCTAGCAACCTAAATACAAGGCTGAAGAACAGTCCTGGGTTTTAATCCCAGTTCTTGCTGTGAGGTTTTAGATAATTCAGTCTCTGTGTATCTTAATTTTTCCAACTGTGAAACAGGAATAATAATAGTTACCTGCATAAACAAAAATATTCTGAGAATTAGTTTATGTTTGTGTACCACTTTGAAGAAATAAACTATGCTAAATAAATACCATAATCATCCCTTTCTCCTTGGTCCCATGGTGGGTTAAAACATGAGGTGACACAGAACCCTCGGATGGAATTTTAAGTAAGTAACTTAGATCAGCAGCCTCCTATTTATGGCACTATAGATTCATAGCATGTCGGTCCTCAGACAGAAGGCTGGAAAGGGCTGGGACAATGCCAGAAAGGCAAAAACCTTGCCATTTCTACACAGGGGAATCAACTCAATTTTCTAACCATTTCTTTAGGAAAAAAAGAACGCCATGGGCAGCTGGTCTTACCCCAAGTGCATACCATAAATGTCTGTCATATCAAGGTGCTTTGTCATTCCTAAGACTCTATACCAGACATCAGTACAGATTTTGTATGAGAAACAATTCATAATGATATACTAAGTGTATAGTCCATACACTATCATACTATTATTGTAATAAGCATAGGTAAATATTTTTGGTTGCTGTACATTCAAAGCATAGGCAACAACACCCATTTACTCTCCTAACTTCTAGACAGACATCTGGCTGTTTACAGCTCCTATGCTGCATCATTATCACATGGAAGTTTACTTTCTACAATGCAGAGATCATCTGATCAAGATAACACGCTCCATTAAGCTGAAGCTGGCTTATTACTATAAATGTACAGTGGCACTGAAACATTTAGTAAAATGATCTATTCATAGGCAGACATTCATGTCACATTACTACAAGGGGAGCGTGGGGAGGCAAAATTAAAAAATCCATGCTCACTACTTATTTAGGCTCCACTCTTGAATTCAAATATATCCAGGCTTTTGTACAGTGCTTCATCGACTTCACTGGGTTTCCAGGTGAGCATAAAGGTCCACCCATGCAGAACCAGTTCCTTAAAAGGTCAAATTTTTTTAAATCCAGAAAGGTCAGTTTCATAGACAGATTCCATCCACAGTCAAAGAAAATAATCCTTCGTCCTGTTCCATTCAAGTGCTTCTAGGTCTTAAAAGAAAACAAAAACAAAACAAAACAAATTATTTAAATATCAACCCACGTTAATAATTAATTCCTAGGGGAAAAGCAAGCAGATTTAATTTCTCTGGAGATTTTCAAGTCAACCACCTTAAAACGAATGAAAATATACAGTGCTGTGACAAGATAGAAATGCAGCTGCTGTTTACAGATTGTGATGTGAAAATGAATTTGTCTCTTCACACAACATGCATTCATTAGCGTATGCATTTTCACTGTTTGACATTCAGGAACAGAATTAAAAGGACGCACTGCAAAAACTATCGGGTCTCATAAGCACTTACACATACAAGTAGGCCCAGAGACTTGCACCCTGTAAGAGCTACCACTACATTGCCCCCCCCCCTTTATATTTTACTGGTTTAAGATGCATAACAATAGAGCCTATAGTTTCGCAGCATGCAATTAGCTAGCTAGGTTGTTATTTACGGTTAGTTTTCACCTTTTCCTACCCAGTAAAAATAATTTCCATGCATTCAACACAATGCATCCATGCACCGATTCACTCCAATCCATTACAGATTCACAGAAACATCCCTTCAAAATAAATAAATAAAATAGCATTCGTTTACTTCCTATTATTAAATGTAGTAAGATGCTCTCAGGATGACTGAATTTCACTTTCCTGAGACTATAGAAGGACCAGGCTACACCCTGGTGGAAAAATGCAAATTTTCAGCCATCCACCAACAGGACTATGAATATGAATATGCACGATGAAGAAAAAAAATGCATCCGCTGTCAAGACATTTATATGACTAGCCCAAATAAATGCTATTTTTATACGATTAGCTTAAGTAAATAAATATTTGTACTAATTTAATCCTATTTGGGATGAAATAAATATTTCTCATTTAAAAATTATGTCTATTTTTATGTCTACTTTTAACCTAAGTAAACATAAATGGAAAGGCTCTTTGCCAACAAACGTCCTTTACAACCATAGCCACTTCCTTACAGTCATCACCGATAAGAGAAGTGGTTTCAAAGCAAGACCACCTGCGGGTATTTCAACCAAAGCACTCCCGGGGAAAATGATCCTTTTCCCAGTTTCTTGCCATGGATGGCATACAGACGCTTATTTCAACACAGCAAAACAACAGCCATCGTGCTTAGATGGACAGCAAAGCTACCAGGCACCATTTTTCTTGAAGTATGTCTGCTAGGACGATCATCCTAGAAGCTAGTCCGGTTGTCTTTGGTTTCATATCAATAGAGGACAACCGGACTGTCCTCTATGATGGCCACCCTATGCTAGAGACTTGACCTCTGCCCTCTATTGATATGAAACCGGATGCCTTGATGTCCTCTATTTTTCTCTTGAAAAATAATCTCGAAGAGAAAAATAAAGGACATAAAGGTGTCCTGTTTCGTATCAATCAACGACGGAAGTCAAGTCTCTATCGTAGGGTGGCCATCATTGAGGACAGTCCAGTTGTCCTCTACTGACACCAAACCCAATGCCTTTATGTGTCCTGTTCTTCTCTTCATGATTATTTTCTCTTCGAGATTATTTTTCAAGAGAAAAATCAGAGGACTTCAAGGCGCCGGGTTAGAGAGTAGAAGACAACCAAGCTGTCCTCAATGACGGCCGCCCTAATGTCTGCCCGTGACCTTTCCACACCAAACGTCGCATCCAAACTTCAACCTCGTTCCTTAACGCTGAAAAGGAAAGTAACGGGTGAGCCGAAAGTGGCTCGTCATGAGAAAAACAGGATATAACGTTGTCCGGTTTTGTATCAATAGAAGACAGAGGACAACGGGCTGTCCTCAATGACAACGAGACTTCACCTCCGTCCTCTATTGATACCAAACCCGACGCCTTTACGTCCTCTATTTTTCTCTTCAAGATTATTTTCCAAGAGAAAAACAGAGGACATCAAGGTGTCCGGTTTCGTATCCACAGAGGACAAGCGGGCTGTCCTCAACGACAGCCGCCCTAACGTCACGTCGACCCACGACCCGTCCACACGAAACGCCGCATCCGAACTTGACCTCTGCCCTCGATCGATACCAAACCCGACGCTTTTATGTCCTCTATTTTTCTCTTCAAGATTATTTTCCAAGAGAAAACTAGAGGCGCCCGGCTTGGTACCAACAGCAGACAGACGTCGGGTGCTCAAGGACAGACAGTCCAGACACGAACCCCGACGCCTTTATAGCCTCTATTTTCCTCGTCAAAGATGACTGTCTCTTCAAGGCTGTTTTCCCAAGAGAAAAAGGGAGGACGTGGAGCGTTTGGTACGCAGGGAGGACCCTTCCCACCCCAACGCCGACCTGGCTGCCTCGCGCTGGCGGGGTTGGGGAGAGTGGGGCGAGCCTGGAGGGATCGCAAGCAGCAGCCGAGTGGCAAAGCAAGACGGGCAGATGCGTTTCGCCCCCACTCCTCCT